AAAAAAAAAAAAAAAAAAGGCTGAGTACATAGGATGTTAGAATACAGAGGAACTGCGTTCCATCACAACAGGCGAGTGAGAATAAATAAGACCGGGATGACTTTGCTGCAGATGCTGTGAAAGGCTGAGAGTCCTGCCCAGGGAAGCAGTTTAGAGATTCCCAAGTCTTTCTGCACAGTAATGATGGGGGAGAAACAGAGAGGCGGAGCAGAGCCTCCGGTTCTCACTGGCCTAGAGATCACACATCTGCAGGCATCATCGGTACCTCACAATCTCAAACCGCAGCGGGACGGGGTGCGGGACGTGCAATAGAGAGGAGGGGGTTCTACGGAGGCACAAACTAAAACGAGACGCAAAGCCAGGCCACTGTGTGATTAGCACTTTGGCGCTTTGCTTTTCAGGAAACTAAGGGGGGCTTCGGATCCGCTCCGGCCCAGTTGGCTTCTACTGGGAAAATTTAGTTTCATGACTGAAAATGACAGACACACAGCTGGGCGGCTCCCTCAGACATGCACGCCTGTGTTTCCCTCTTTACTTGGTGTTGTAAGAGGAAAAGCGCTGGTTGAGGGGGTTCTCCGGCGACTTGGCCCACTCCTTCTTCAGCAGCTGCTTGAGTTGCGACAGACGCATGTTGGGGTTCTCTTTCTTCAGGCGGCACATGTGCAGCTCCTCGAACGTGGCAAACGCTGCCCTCATGCGCCGCTCCGGGTGCCGGTCCAGGTCCTCTGCGGTACTGTCACGCGAAGGGGAGGCGGGACAAGTGCAACCAGAATTAGCCAGCAGTAAAATGACCAAAACATTTTGGGTAGATGTTTTATCTTTACATAAAGTCGCCTGGTTATAGAGCAGGCATGAAGGGTGTGGGTGACAGCATAGAGAAAGTGCTAGAATGTACCTGAGGGCAGCGATGGCATCCTCGATGGTTCTAGCTTCAATCGTGCCTTCTTCAGGGACTATGCGATTCACGTTCAGCTCCAGCGGCTGCTCAAGGTGGGTTTTTTCTGCCGCACATAAACAGAGGCATAGTGAAGCACAGGCACTGGCAAATGCTACAGAAGTGGTGCAGTGAAGCACAGGCACCTGCGAACACCATGGCAGAAGTGAAGTGAAGTGAAGCACAGGCACCGACAAGCACTTATGAAAGAGGCGCAGTGAAGCACAGGTGCCGGGGAACACTACAGCAGAGATGCACTGAAGCACAAGTGCTGGCGGTCGCTACGGTGCAGGTGCAGTGAAGCACAGGCATAGGTGCCGACGAGCACTATGACAAAGGTCCAGTGAGGCACAGGTGCCTGCAAGCACTGCGGCAGAAGTGCAGTGAAGCACAGGAGCCGGCGAGCGCTGTGGCAGAGGTGCAGTGAAGCACAGGCACTGCCGAATACTGCAGCACAGGGCACAGCAGACACTCTCTCACCTTTCTCCTTGGCCACTTGCTGCTGCTGCTGCTGTTCGTTGTACAGGGTTTCCTCAATCTGTGCCCGGGTGACTTTGCCCCCCTTGCCCTCTCGGACCACCTTGCCCTTTATCTTAGCTTCCTCCTCCTCAAAAAGTCGGTGGTTCTCCTTTTTTCGCTCCAGGGCTTCCAGGCGCTTCTTCTCCCTGTCATCCTGTGAAATGAGTATTACAAGCAGAGCGATTAATATAGCAGTGAGAGCTGTCTGCAGTCAGGGAGAAGCAGGAAGGAAAATGCTCCCCGTTTCCAAGGACGCGGAACTGCGAGCTAGAGACTTCACCTCAATAACTGGGTGAAACAAACCCCACAGCCATGACTTTAACAGAAGAATTAACAGTAAGAACTCTCTATAGTACACTGGGAAAACACCATTCATTCAAGCGCCTCTCCTAATCCCTCATCCAGTACAAAGTGAGCATGAATGCACAGCTTATCCCAGGAAGCACAGGACACACAGCATGGGAGACCCAGGGAAGGGCACCAGTCTAGGGGGGGGGGGGGCAGTTCAGAAACCCCATTCACCCAAATGCATGGCTCTTATACTGCAGCAGGAAGCACACACAAACAGAGCTACAAAACTGCACACAGAGCTACAAAAGCACTACAGTTTAATGAAATTAACACAATTGTACATTTCATCTCTAAGCCAAAGTCATTTACAAAATAGTTATGCACAAAATCCCCTGAAAAGCTTCTCTGATTGATGGTTCTGCATCAAGTTCTGTATGTACCTCAATCCTGAGAAGGCAAAGGCAGTATTATGGTAATATTGCGGTATATTGGGTTTACGGAGGTATTTTCGCTCAATTACCCCTTGCTCGGCAAATTTTAATCACCAAGACATCAAAATACCATATCCCACACCATAAAAATTTCCACTCGTATTGATCGTGTACGAATAAATATTCTGATGCCTCGATGGTATGACAGTATGAAAAATTAGATGATACCACCAAAGCCTAATTTTGAGGTTAATATTTAATCCAATATCAGCAGTGAAAGGGGTAAAGGAAACAACCATTTTAAGGGATTTTTTGGTTTTATAAATATATATACATTAATTCTTGTAGCCACTTTTGTCATGAGATAAACTGATATTAACACAGACTCCAAAATGCAGCATTCGGCTGTTTCATCAAGACTATCATCGCCCCCTAGTGTTGACTACTTTCAGCTGCTCTTTTCATTATACCCAAACCATGCTAATATCAGTGTTGGGGAAGCTACTCTGAAACTGTAGTTTGACAAGCTACAAGCTACTCGTAAGTTAAAGTAATTAAACTACAGTCAAGCTACCCTTTTGGAAAAGTAGTTAGCTACACTACAAGTTACTATCAAAAAGTAGCTAGCTTTTGATTTTTTTGAACGACGTATATTATAAATAACTGAATGTCTGAGGAATGTTTTAAGTAAAATATTTAGTGTTTAAAACAATGCAATACAATTATGATTTCAAAGAGTATTGTTTTATTACACACAACACTCAAATATCTCAGACTGTTTGTCAAAAGTGCAATATTTCAACAAATACAACATTGCAAGAACAAAATATACATCCAACGTAAATTGCATGTAGAACATTTTCTCAAAAATACCGATTGTGAGATGGTTGCATTTTGGCAAGAAAATACATTGAACAACCGCTCACATGTGGCACTGGCACGGAAAAAACTATCTGGTGTAGTTGCAGTAGACTGAAACCTCATCCAAAACATTAACCTCCAAAGAGTCAAAATGTTATAATTTGTAATGTTAGAAAAGCCTCAACTGACGAGTAAGAACGCTTGGAAAATGTTAAGTATTTTAGTTGAACTGGCATAGTTAGTCACTGTTATTATTATACCACTCAAGCAAAACAGGAATGGTTTCACACCATCAGTCGAGAATTGAGGTGCAGTGTCCTTCTAATAAGAGCAGGCAATAACAAAATGTATAGGCAACTCAATTTGTTCTCTTAACTAAACTGAAGCAGAAGTGCCTGACCTGTTAATTCGACACAAGAGAAGTTCCTCAAAATGACTGTCGGAAAGACGGTTGCGTTTTGCCACTTCTGTACGTCAGTGAACCGTTAGCCGCAAGATGCGTGATTAAACAACAGGTGGCGGTAATGGCAAAAAATGAGTTTGTAATCTAACAAGAAGACTTGCATCGCGCTGATTCGCGCAGCTACACCGCTACTTGCTGCAAAAAGTAGTTAGCTACTGGAAAAGCTACACTGTTTAAAAAGCAACTGAGCTACTGCCAAGCTACTGAAAAATGTAGTTAAGTTAGTAGCGTCGCTACTTGTAGTTATAACTACTCCCCAACACTGGCTAATATACATTATATATGTTTCTCTGATATTTATATATAAATGCATCTCCTAGTATGCTATTACCTAGTAAACCAAAGATTTTAATTAAACCATCCAATTTAAAACACAATGAACAGAATCAAAGGCAAGTCATACAAAGCACAGAAAAAACACACAAAAACCCCCACCTTGCAATGCACATACAATGGTGTTTCGATTCTGCAAGCTGGGCTATTGTTTTACCATGAGAAAGGCTGCACACAAAGATTTGATACATAATGATCAGACTCCAATGGCTGCAGTTTGCTGCTGCTATTTTCACACACAAATCAATGCTGGGGGAGTGAAACACAACAGGGGGCCTTTTCACACACAAACGGCTAATTTCTGAAATTATTGACGTGAAGCACCACTGTAAAATGTCATTTGTTTGACAACAGCCAAACAAAAGAAACAACCACAAAGAAATTCTCCTGCTACAATAAAGGATATTCCCAAGAAAATAACTGTTCATAGCAACTTATGAATGAATAGTAATAAAAAGTGAAGATTATGTTAGGGCCACCAGCTCATTGGTCAGAGATTTGTATACAGTCTTTGTACCATGTCCCTTCTGAGGCATATGTGTTAGTGTCGATGAATTGTTACACCCCTAATCGATATATCAGTTAAGGTCACAATACAATTTAACCAACTCAATATCAAATATAGATTCATATCATTTAACCCTGATAATACGGTAAAACACTGCCAAAAAAAAATCTGCAAAAAAGTTTCTCACACAAAGCAATCTAGAAACTCACCTTAGCAGAGATCAGCACATTACAGTACATTTTATGTAGCTTGGTACACCCGTGTTCCTAGGTTTTCAGAGAGCAATGGCACTTCTCCATTGCCACCGTCTATTTGAATGAATTGCACGGATATACCAGTGATCTGCGTCGATATGCATGGATTATCTGAAGGAAAAAGGGCATCTTCTATATACTATTCATTATTAGTAGTATCACACATCGCGATGTATGGATGCATTCCCAGTAACTCGGAACTTGAAAATTTCCAATCTCCTACTGAAAAAATACTATAGAACAGCTGAATGGAATGGATTCGTAATGCAAATTTACACAAGCTAACGCTAATTCCACTAGCGTTAAAATAAAGGAATATTTTTGAATAAACTTGTCTACAGCTCATTCTGTTAAAGAACTGTGAGAAAATCGTATCGTGAACTCAGAATCATGAATCGTATCCAATCGTGAGTTGAGTGTATCATTACATCCCTGCTGAACAAACCCTTCTGCAGTGGAAACCCGAAGCAAGCTGGAACTCGTCTCAGGTCATGGTAGGGGGTGGGTAACCGAACCATGAGCAAACAAGACCTAGAGCACACGTGGTTAGTCAGGATGCTTAGCCATGTCACTTGCCTTAACAGCAATGTAGTGTTTGACCTAAATGCATTTAAAGATTTTCTTATGCTTATTCTGTAGTGAATAGTTTTATGACATGAGAAGCTTTATGCATGGGTAAAAAGCAACTGTGAGTAAGGTCAAATCATATGCTCATAAGACTTAAGTGTGTGGAGGCAGTGGGTAAGTAGGTAAGCGGTGATGGATGGATGGATGGATGAGTGTGCAGAACATAAGCTAGTCCTGAATGCCAGTGTATGACTTATACTGGTTCATTAGAACTGGGCTATGAATACTATCACTCTAAAGAACTCTGTTGGTAAGTAATACAATTTTATTTCTAATAATAAAAGAGTATAATCCTGGAAGTACTAATCCAAGTATTTCCGAAAGACATAGTTTTTTAGCCGTCATTTGTAGGCTCCCAGTGACTCAGCTGTTCAGACATTTAAAGGAAGTTCGTTCCACCACACAGGTGCCAAAACAGAGAAGAGTCTAGATGCACGTCTTGCTTGCGCCTTAAGATGGTTGGACCAGGCGAGTGGTGCTGGAGGTTCGGAGAGAGCGTGGTGCTGTGCGGGGTGAGATAAGTTCTAGGTAGGAGGGTGCTGGTCCATTTTTGGCTTCGTAGGCGAGCACCAGTGTTTTGAATCTGCAGAGGAAGTGCAGCAATGGCGTGGTGTGGGAGAACTTGGGAAGATTGTAAAGGAGTCAGGCAGCTGCATTCTAGATCAGCTGCAGAGGATGAATGACTTGCAGTAGCTTAGTCTAGAGATGACAAGAGATTGAACAAGTACCTGAGTGGCTTGTGCGGAAAGAAATGGATGAACCCATCTGATGTTGAAGAGGAGAAATCAACAAGAGCGGGAAAGATTGTGAAAGGAAAGGGACAGGTGACTGTCCGTGGTTACGGATGGCAGATGAGCTGTCATCCATGATGACCAATACAAATCCCAACATCCAAACAAACGGCACAGCCGCACTGGACCACAACAGAGTGGCGCGTGACTCACCTTGCGTTGCTCCTTCTTCAGCACGTGCTTGTCGTTCTCCTGCCAGAGCGCATCTTCCTCCTCCTGCTTCTTGCGGGCGTCCGCGACCGCCTTCGCCTCCGCCTTGCGAGCCCGGGCCGTGGCCGACTTCGAGTTCTCTCCCTGGAACTTCTTCGGCATTCCTCCACGGGTCCCCTTACACACACCAAGCCATATATAATGAACGGAAGCATCGTGCTCGGACTATTCAGTGCAAAGTTCATTTTAATTTTAATGTGCTTGTTGAGTAATAGGAAACTTGTACGTAGCAATAAGCCAGCATATGGAATCAAACATTAAAATAATGGGAAACTCGAATGGTCTGTAAACGAGACGAATAAAACAGTAAAACGTAGATGTACATTACACGAACTACTGGTTTATACAGACAGCTTAATACACAACCAATGTGGAAAAAGTAGTCTCTGTTTGCAAAAGTATAAAGTTCAGCCTATGATTAATTGGAAAGCGAACGTTTGTTTTCATATTCTGGCACATTAGAAGCCACGTTAATCTACCAAAACGAGGGAATTATTTTAAAAATAACTGTGCACAACTGCTAGTCAGAGTGCTCGATATCATTCTTTGTGCTTAAAATGTCTCACTGACAAGGCTAATAAGAATCAACACAAAAATAAAGAATCCCAGTGCAGCCAAATCAGCGCTCTAAGCGTAGCTAGCGAGAAAGTCGCTGACCCAGGGAAATGTAAACAATGAAGGATTTAAGTCAGTTTAGCAAATAACCTCTTACATAAATATATTTTAGCTATAATATGCATAACTGTACAAAACTGAAACTTAACATTTCATTTTCTTCACTTAAAGCAGCTCAGTAAACGGTACCGCTTACCTTGGTATCCGTAGGCTGCTACTCTGACAGAGGGCGATCCTATATAATGAAGCGCTGTCTATACTACTGCCTGTCAAAATAGCACATGCTATGTTTTACAAAATAAAACCACCTCTGTGAGAAATGTTGGGCTTTTTCTACATCATATCAGCGATTCACAGAAAATACCTCTTCATCTGCGCGTTATTCTTAGCTTATTGCAGTATCTTAATTCAAACAGTAAGGACAGCACAGCATGCCGGGGTCTTCGTTAATGCTTTACTTCCGTCTCCGTCACGAAGGGCCTCTGCTCCCGTCCTAAGCGGCTCTTTGGCTGTCACTGTGCTCTTCCTTTTGTTCACGGTTTTAAAAATACTCGCAAGCAGGGGCGAAACTACGATTTGACATGCAGGATGCAGCCCGGGGATAAAATCTGGCCCCAGCCATAAAATTTACAGTATAGGGATTGATTCCCCCACTATCAAATTTCCCGACGTGGGATTGCTACTAAGTACATACAAAAAACGGAACAAATCGCCAGTTGTTGTGGAATATTTTTTTTCAGGGGTGGGCTGAGACATGCATACATACATAGATAAATAACAGGGTGACTGAAGCCCCCTACACAGGGTCTGGAACCTCCGAGGCTCCTGGCGCTTTATTAGCTTCCAAAAAGCGGTGCGAGTAATAAACCATATTTCTGTTTTCGTTAGCAGTAGTCTAGTCTTCCTCCTTACAAGGGGCTTCGTTATGGGATTTTAGTAGTCTTAGCGTAAACACGATAAATGAGATAAGGCGAATCTGGATGTTTATGCATGTAACTTATTTAAAATTAAAAGTACTGTCAAGTGTAAACTTATATGTACTGTGTTCTGTTTTTTAAGTGACTTTAAGAGTGCACTTGATTGCTGGAGACCGAGTCTTGTTGAGATTTGTAAGTTGGACAGTTCTACAGAGTGCAACTAATGTTGATGCTGCAGGTCTGGCTTTTAATTTAACAAAAGTTCATCTCTGCTTGGGTATTTCCGATGCTTGCATTCGGAGTTTATTTGCATCTCATATTAGCTTATTTGAATCTGTCTTTTCATGTACGGCAATGCCCTCTTTCACCGTGTGCCTAGTCGCCCTTTGCTGTGCATGGTGTCGGATCGGCTGCTGCATCGGCAGGTGGCGATGTGAGCCTCGGCACGGCTTTTCTGCGACGCGGCTGCAGAGGCGGACTCGCCCATGACGTTGCAGTGAGCATCATGGAGTCACCCTGCGGGGAGCTGAGCGAGTCTGGGCAGGGAGAAAACGCCGCCAGCCAGTTACAAAACAGCGGCAGTCATTTTCACAGTAAGCGACACAAAGAACTGGAGAACGCGGCGTTGCAGACCAGCTTGAATTCCCTGCGCACGGAGATGGAAGCTGTGGCGTTTTCCGAGAACGAAGGGAGCCGTACGGACGAAGAGGGGCTGCCGGCGGCGGTGCAGTCCTCCACCGAGCCCTCCGATCTGTCTCCAGCAGTTAGTCCGAGGCCGGAATCCGAAAGCGAAACGAAAGAGCAGAACGGTCGGGAAGAAGAAAGGACCTTGACCGACCACCTCAATAAGCGGCTCCTGTCTCATTTTTTGGAGAAACTGAATCAAAGTGACTTGGCTCTTCCTGGAGTGCAGGAGCTGGATTGCACTGTGGTCGGGGAAGAAGACTCCAATCGCGCTGTCGATGAATGGTGAACTTAACTGGAGAAAAAATACAAGAAGATTTGCAATGCCTGACAGTCTGTCTTATAGTCAATCGGCTATTTTTATTCATTAACTTTCAAGGTGTTTGTTCATTAAGAAGACTGAAATGTAGAAAATGGATCGAAATTCCTAACTACAATAAAATCATGTTTTCTTTGAACATTAATATGACAGAATCTACGTTTGCTGAAGCTATGCAGAATAATATGCTGTGATTATATTCACCAGCAACACAATTAATGTACTGTAACATGAATTTTGAATAGGCTTGTAAACATTTAAAGTGTAATGCAGCGAATATACGTACATAATACTCTGAATAAACAGAATAATCAAGTACACGATTCTCCATACTTGTAATTCTGAGTAGACGTCCGTATAGCACATAATACGAAAAAAACGTAACATCGTTTTATTGTGTGTGTGTATATGTAAGCTGGTTTTAAATCCAAGTCGGCACCTGGCAACGTAGCCTCGCGGAGCTGTTACTTAAAATGTATAAAAATTATGTAAATATCATGTAATAATAATTGCGTGAAATATTATTGCTCTTCCGCTGCATCACAGAATTATGCACATTGTGTCTGCCAGCATGAAATTCTACCTTGCTTTATGGCAAAGTGATTTAAAAATGTACGCTTGATACTCATTGCTTACTATAATGATAGTATTACTATAAAATTCCCCCGCACAAGACAGGTATTTACGGTAACTTGAAATAAGGTTAATTATTAGAAATATAAAAGCATGTGTTTAGGGTTTGTCCTCCAGAGCTGCAATGGCTGCATCACAAAATAACTTTAAAATATTTCCAAATATTAATAAGCTTTGTTCTATGTGGTCAGGGAGGAATGTTCTGCAACTTTGCCCCTAACTTGAGAGGTTTACATCTTTACCAATGGTTAAGAATGTGGTTGTGAGAGACACACAGAATGATTAATGAACATCTTTGTTAATTCACATATGTGATGAGTACAAAGCACATGCAATATGTCGCTGTCAGAAGCTCGCAGAGGATGTTTCTTATCATGCAGATGCCCAGGTGCGTTGAAACTCAAAAGCCTTCCTTTGTTTAAACTTTGGGATGGAGTAAGAGCCAGTCACCTAGTATTTGAACTATTTAATATATCACAAGACAGGTTATTTAATATTTAGTATCTCACAAGACCTTCTTCTTGCACAAAAAAGTCAAAAGATTAATTGACAGCATAGCTAAGCTGACTCCCAAAGAAATATTCTAGCAGATGTTTGAAAGCTCTTTACGATCATACACAACATGATTTCAGAGCTTAAACAAGCAAGAATGACAAATAGTGTGAATCCCAAATCATTTTTCTCATTCAGTTTAAATATACAGCTAACAATATTTCCAGCACACAAAACTTAAAAGCAATATGAATAGTGACGTAAATATTATACATTCAATTATAAATTTCAGACAGAGAATAAAGATTGGTAATTATATAGTCAGGTAGTAAAACAAAGCTAAAAGAAAATGTTGTAGGTTTATAGTGATCTCTAATTCCAAATTGCTTATATGTTTCCTTCTGCTACACCTGTTGGTTTAAAGCCCCTAATTTCTGGCTCCCTGCAGATACTGTGGAGAAGTTCACAGCTGGGATCGTCTTCCACCTTCCCTGCACTCGGCTGTGAAGCCTTCTCTATATCGGCAAAACCACTTGTTTGATTTTGTGAGCCTTTGGGAGGTACAATAAGTTCAGTGCTGTTCATCGACGCCTTCTGTGAAGAGAGTTGAGAAATCTGAGACAGCTGACACCAGAGACAATGTTTCAGATGAAGTGGAGAAGGGATAGGATAGGTCTACACTCACACAGAGACAATGTTTCAGATGAAGTGGAGAAGGGATAGGATAGGTCTACACTCACACAGAGACAATGTTTCAGATGAAGTGAGAAGGGACAGGAGAGGTCTACACTCACTGTCTTCTTGGAGGCTCCGTCTGCATTTTGGTGCCAAAGACCGTGCCAAAGAAGGCCTGGGCTAATGCTGCTCCTTTTGGTGGGTCCTGATGAAAATACAACCCATGATTTCACATTTCTAGTGTGACAATTACCCACTTCTGTTACACAAATCCAAAAAAGGAACTTGTCTTGTTTTTACAAAGTAATACATGTATCAAATATCAGAAGCCGTTAAATTGCATACGGTACGTGGAAATAAATATTGGGTTTAGCTTTTTAGCTATGTTGTTGACAATTTTTTCATTTCTAGTAAATGAAGGAAACCATATACCCTTAGTATCATGATAAGTATCACAGTGCCAGTTTGTTGTTACCTGTCAAGCAGCTGACCACCAGTCCCACCAGAACTACTGAACACGTCCCAATAGCCCCAAAGTACAGGTAGGACATGGCGTATATGTTCATCAACCCTGTGAGTCTGTATAGAGAAAGAGGGCAGTCTTTGTAACAGTATATTTATCTGGCTAATATGTCAAATTCCATCCAGTTTTATGCTGTACATGCTTGTGAATAATAATCGCTAATGGCCGCCAAAGCCCCTGCGGCATTCTGGGTAATTGCTCATCTTGCCCTTGGCAGGACGTGCAACAGACAATTGCACTGGTATAATAATGGTTATACTGGGCACTGATATATCTGAAGCCTTGTATGCTTTGTGACTCAAGATAAGATTCAAGATACATTCTCAAAAAAGTGGACAGATTATAAGTGAGACAGACTTGTATTCAGTCACATTACTGCAGTTCTGTTAGGTACGATAACACCCTTCAGAATTCAGTCATTTATTTTAAATGTGCTCTGCATGTACTGTAATAACTTTATGCTTTTGAATAGCAGTGAAAAACAGCAGTCCCTTACCCTTGGTCCTCAAGTGGAATGTTGGTCTTGGTTGATGTTCTGTTGAAGCCTATACTGTGGTTGTATTTGGGTGGCTGACATTGTTCTGGAAAGGCTGATAGAACTCCCATAATGTTCTCACTGGGTGGGAATAGTGAGGATCCAATGGCAATCCATAGAGACAGGCCAAAGCCCACAAACACACCAGTGAACACTCCCTGGGGGAAGTTTATTGGAGAATCATAAAAATTAAAATATCTGTAGGAACACATTTAAATATCCATCCAAATACGCGTATCTGCAATAGCAACATGATAAGAACCTAGGACACCACATTAAAGTTATTATAGTAACGTATCTGAACGAACGGGCAGCCTTTTCTGAAGGTGCTTCAGAAAACCTACCTTAGTGTTGGTGGCAGGAACAAACATTCCCAGCATGAAAACGCCCAGCAGTGGCCCACTGACGACCCCCATGACTGTGAAGGAGCCCTGCAGCATGAGACAGTGTCACCTTGAAGCCAGATACATCCTGCATACATAAAACGTCATTGGATAAAACGTCATTGGATAAAATGCCATTGGATAAAACATCATTGGATAAAACGTCATTGGATAAAACGTCATTGGATAAAATGCTATTGGATAAAATGCCATTGGATAAAATGCCATTGGATAAAACATCATTGGATAAAACGCCATTGGATAAAATGTCATTGGATAAAACGTCATTGGATAAAATGCCATTGGATAAAATACCATTGGATAAAACGTCATTGGATAAAATGCCATTGGATAAAATGCCATTGGATAAAATTCCATTGGATAAAACGTCATTGGATAAAATGCCATTGGATAAAACATCATTGGGTATAATGCCATTGGATAAAATGCCATTGGATAAAACGTCATTGGATAAAATGCCATTGGTTAAAACGTCATTGGATGATGAGCTTGATGAAATGTTGATTGATTAAATGCCTTAAACAATTGGCCTGTTCTGCCACCAGCATGTCCTGTGTTACGAAACTGCAGCCAGTCAGTTGCTCATGTGTTCTTAAACATGTAGGATGGGGTCCACATGGAGATGATTGAAATTATGGGCTTTTTTGAGATGCATGTGGAGTATTAGACTGGTAAGACCTGAAAACACACACAAAAATGTGTTTTTTTTTTATCACGAGGTAATTTGTCTTCAGTTTACCCCACACGTTATGGGTATTGCACGTTATCTTTTGCTACAAGTGCTTCAGAACTGAAATCCTCGACTGGTTCTGTGACATGAATAAATATATTGTAATTAATATAACAATGCTTTATTTAGCAATGGACTAGGCTGTTAATTCTGTAATTTTTTCTTTATAGGTGCCCAGTGCTTTTTTGCCAGTTGATGGCTGGTAACTACACCGTTTACAGGTTGCCACTCATCGCGTTTATCAGACGTAGTGCTGTAGCACTGCACCACATGGTGCCTTTCCTGTGCTACAACGAAAATCACAGCTCGTGGAATTATGCGGGGGAGAGGTGTGGATGGATGGATATGCAGCATGGTGGGAGGGGGGCATACCTGAAGAACTCCCCAGTCTAAGAAGGAGGTGAGGACAGCCACCATGATGCAGCAGGCCCCGTACATCAAAGCTAAGGCACAAGGATGAAAAGCCTGACAGGTTACTCTGAAGTGCTGCACATTCTCAGGCTCTGCTGATTTTAGCTGAATTTACTCCATGTTGTTTATGTAAACGTGTTATTAGCAGAGCAGACACCAGCAGAAACTCACATACAATGTCATCTGCATGTTTTAGAATTACAGTCTTATGGCTTGTTTAGCTTTTATAGTTCTCTGTTGGTCTAAAAATAATTCTGAAAGGGAACCATTCAACATAACTAATTGGTATTGAGTTTGCAGCGTTTTAAGAGTTTATATATATACACACACACACACACTGTGTATATCTATATATGTATGCTGTATGTGTGTGTGTGTGTGTAACCCTAATCCTAACTCTTAGAACTCCACAAACTTAATAGCAGTTACATTGTGACATTACGAGTAAAATTATTATAATAATTACATAAAAATTGATTGGCAAACCCACAGAGTGCTCTAGAGGTGATCAGTAGCCTTTTCTGAGACATGTTCATGAACCTGGGCTTCAGCAGGTCCTCCACAGTAACAGCTGCCATGGCATTGATACTGGTGGAGACTGTACTGCAATAGGAAGGAAGGTGCTGAGAACATCCGTCGTAAAGTTTAATGAAGATACACAACAGAGTACTAAAGGGAAGAGATCTGAGTACCTTAATGTTCCACTATATGCGCATGCCAGAAACAGACCAGGTACACCAGGGTAGTGTTCAAAGATGTCCAGGACTAAGTAGGGCATATACTGTCACATGGCGAGAGAGAAAGAGAAGCATGTGGCACAGACAGAAGTGGGTAATTCAGGTCCAGAGAGTAAAAGTCCAGACCGGGATTTTGTTTCAACCAACCAGTTGAGTACTTTATGCTCAACTGGTTGGTTGAGACAAAAACCTGATCTGGACTTTTACTCTCTGGACCTGAATTACCCAATTCTGGGCACAAATTAATGCGAACAGAGTGTGTCATGTCTGTCTTTATGTTGCATAGTATATTCATGTTTGACAAAGCAAGGATAATATACGCTAACCCTAATCCTAACCCTAACAGGTGTAGGAAGTATACAGCCACTGACTCTGATTGTTTTCTTTTCTTTTCTTTTCCATTCCAGCCCAGCAGCTATGGATACACTGACATGGCAGCACCTTTTAAATCATCCAGCTCAGTGGACATCTACACACACCACAGAACAGCCAGGATCATGTGATGATCATGTGATACAAGGCAGCTAGGACTACTGGAGATGATGCCCCGTATTCACAAATGTAACATTTAAATCATATGTAGTTCTTGCTTTATGAAATATATGCCAAGTTCTACTAATAGCAATCCAATTTCTGTAACTGCCTGTCCTAGTCAGGGTCACGGGGGGGGGGGGGGGGGCACAAGGCCCTCCAGGGTGGGGCACCAACCCATGGCATGGCACACTCACACACACCATTTATTCACACATGCATGTCTCCAATTTAAACTCCAATTTACCTCAGCGTATTTTTGGACTGTGAGGGACTGGAGTACAACAACAACAACACAAGGAGGACATGCAAACTCCAGACATGGAGCCATGGTTGAGTCTCGAATCCGGGTCAACCACTGCACCACCGTGCAGCCCCAGTTCTACCAATATTGAAAAAAATGACGTACCTGATCCGGGGAGGATATTTCTCCAGCCATGAGGGGGTCACAGTGCGAGTACAGAGCATACATGACAATGCCACAAGTGGCCGCACTGCCCACAATAAGGCACAAGCCTAGCTGGTTCACAAGCAAGGCCCTGAAGCAGAGGGAAATGGAAGCCAGACAAGCGTCACTCTCCTGTGCACCGTAAATCATCTGTTGTTCATTTGCAGGTCATTGTTTAAACTATTTTGGTTGAAAGTTTTACTCAGCATTGGATTTCCATTATTTGGCTACTCAATCCATTTTACTCAATTCATTTTACTCAATCCATTTTACTTAATCCATTTTTTGTAATCTTTTAGTGACTTTTGTTACATTTTTTCAAACGTAGCACAAACTTACTGTGCTGTGAAGGATAGCGTCTTACTTTCCCCATCAAGATGGACGGAACCGAAGGTGGCTACAGGCTGTGCTTTTCGCATGCTGAGTCTTATAGTAACAGAGAAATGCAGCAAGCAGAAGCACAGCTTGTCTCACCAAAGCCTGCACTCACCACTGAGCTTCTCTCTGTGTCTTGCACGATATGTAGCGCTGTACCTGTGCTTGGTTCACACCGTACATGGAGAGCCACAGCATCGTGCCTCCGACTGTAAAGCTCCAAAATGTGTAACGTTTCCTGGGATCTAGATCGAAGCTAAAATGAAATCACAGTAAGTAGTTACACACAACAAAGCAGCCATTTTCCTAGAACCACTTATCTAGTGCCAGGTCAAAACAAGCCTAGATGCTGTGCCAAGGCACAAAGAGCACAACCTGCGACGAGATGTCAATCTGCTGTTATGTACAGTATGTGCAAACATTCATCTGCAGTCTTCATGTTGGTGTAAAACTCTGATATTATGTCTGCCAATGTGTGTCAGCATAGCCATTTCCAAACCTCTCCTAAAGTCACCCCAGTAATTACAGTAACCATCCAATACCCCCATGTATTTGTTTGACCCTATCGCTACCCCACCTCATACAGCTAATCAATACCTCATAACTAATTAAATGAATGAATCAATTGAGCTGGATGTGAGATGTAACAAACACAGGTAATGGCTGGGGGGCCCTGAGGAGGGGTTTGGGACCTGAAGCCGTGTTCATCTAGCCGTCCAAGTAGGTATGTCACTTTTTGGAGAACAGAGGAAATACTCGTTAGTTTTCATGGTGTTCCTTTTAATTTGCACATCTTCTAATGTTAAATTGCATTCATTACTTTGAGCAAATATACCCTTACTACCCAAATGAATAGCTTTGAACCTTGGCTACCTAAGACAATACTATACACAATACTATAACTCTGCAGTAATGCATTGACTATTACACCACTGAATCTGCATAAAAGTAAACCTTACTAGAGTACCACAATATGAATGTAAGTCCAGTTTCTTTGCAACCTGTATTATAATCTAAATACAGTACAAATGGATTATTTGTTAGAAATGGATTGTTTGTAGCTTAGATTATGTGATGAATAGTACAGCAGTTACTCATTGAAATTAATGCGTGTTCCATTGTTGGCCAACTCCAAAACCTTGACTGGTCCACCAACCAAAACGGTGCCATAAATGAAGATGACCAAAAACCCAGAGAGCATAACAATGATTTGGAACACGTCCGTCCAGATAACAGCTTTCATACCCCCCTGTGGGAAAGATAATGGGAAATCTGTTAATATATAGAGTAGTTATCAAGCTGGATCACTTCCTGCATCGCATTCTCTCAGTTATCAAGTTTAATTATGGACTATAATATTAGACAGTGACACAGATACTATTTTTGTGTAATATAAATTGTACAAACTGCAGGAATTGACATATGATGCTCATATCAGGAATTTTTTAAAGCCAAGTAACAATAGCTCAGTATCTTTAGCGAACAGTAGTGGTTCCTCTGTGTTCATCTTACCAATGTGGTGTACAGAGTGCAAACGATCCCTGTAGAGAATATTGAGCACCACATGTTGAGTCCAGAAGCTGAAACAGAAGATACAATCTTAAAGGAGTAAAGTGTGTGTATGTGTGTGTGTGTGCGTGTGTGTGTGTGCGTGTGTGTGTGTGTGTGTGTGTGTAAAACAGGGGTCTCCAACTCCGCTCCTGGAGAGCTACTATCCAGCAGGGTCTCTATTCTGCATGGTTTCTGATGAGCCACACCTGTTCCTAGTATTTACCTGAGATTTGACCAGCGGCTGACCGGACGCTGACGTCACATGCGTAGCGCGATCTGTGGTGGGCACGTGGCAGACACGCTGTTTGCCTGTTGCTGCGCGTGATTAACTTATTGGGTAAGTAATTAATAGGTTGAGGGTTGTGTTTTAGAACAGAACTTAAAGTTTAATTTAGCGCAAAAACCGGAGATTTAATTATTTATGCACGATTGTGTTATACTAACGCGAGTTAAATAGGGTGACCAGATAATCCATGTCAGGGAGACACTTTGAGCTACTTCGGGTTTTACAAACTACTTTCAAATTGAAAGGCTCCTGTGCTCGGCTAAATAGTTCAGCTCTTCTTGTGCTTAGACTGGTTTGTTTCCTTGACTGAAAGACTCATCCAGCTGTTTCACATCAGCATTAGTGACACATGCATGATTATAGGAGACTGACCAATCAGCACACAGCAAGAACTCAGTGCTCAAGTGAAACCCAGGTCCTTTTAACTGAAATGGTAATTTACAATTCCTGTCCTAGCTCAGAGTGTCCTCCCTGACGTGGATTATCTGGTCACCCTAGAGTTAAATATTCTCGGAGTTGCCTGGTAATACATTGCAGCTATGTTTGGTAGCTGCGAGACTCGTTCAAGACAAATTTTATAGCAATATTGTAATTATTTTATTTCTGACGTGTTATATTGAAGATAATAAACATATGTAACGTAGGGATCTATAAAACCACTAAATTTCCGAGGCCAACTGTGTTAACTCTTCTGTTAAGTTTCTGATTATATCTGTTATAGACCACAGCAAATTATGTAAACACTACATCTTAGGTAACAGATTAGGAACAGCAAATTGTATCTACCAATTAACGGTCTGTCCCTCCTGCATACACTGTCAGACGTGGCCTCTGCAGGCTCCCTGTTCTCTACCTGACAGCCCCCTCCAGCCTTCCCTCACCCACCCAACAGCATATCCAGCCAACCTCGCGCTCATCTAGCACACCAGGAAATACACTAGGCAGAACTGCAGTGACTAGCTTGTTGATCAGTGGCTTTTTGAAAGTTATTGCTTTTTTATAGCTGAGAAACATATACCTTGGTACAGATGCATCACATTATTTAATCCTGATGCGATTAAATTCCTTTCTGGGAATATATGTCTATCATTAGTTTCATTTTAATAGCTTGTAATTTACATGCCGAGTTTGTGTATAAGAATAATGTGGCTGTTTTAAAAGCAGAGTTTCCTACCTTGGTTTAATATCACGGCCGGGGCGTACAGCACTATCCCCGTATACAGCGTCTGTTTCGGAATATGCACATCAAGAGCTGAGACACAGTATAAGCATAAAATTAATATGATTACATCCCAGACAAAACACGTGCTCTGATTTGGTTATCCTGGTTTGTAATACTTCTGTAAGTTGTCTGATCTCCTGGGTATTTGCTCGCGTCTCTTACCGTCGCCACAAGAAACTGAAAGCTTCCCAGCAGCTGCATTCTTCTGCCAAACCTCATTTGGAGGTACTGTGATAGGAAAAAGACAAGGAGCTCACACCAGTTCACAAGTACTGATTATTCCAACTTACCGGCGTAATGGGTTGCAAACTAAGTAACATTATCACTTTACACCACAGGTACAGAAATGTAAAAGTACCCTTTCTTCTAACGAGTTACTCAGTTGAATATTTAGACCCGTAAACTAATGTTGACATATGAAGAACCAATCCTAGAAGACTTAAAGCCTTCAGTTACTCTTTAAGTACGACACGATAAAGGATCCCCATCAAAGTTCACGTACCTGATTGGTGCTGGTGATTCTCAATTTGTAGAAGACAGGGACGAAGACCAAGGCTGTAGCTAGGGAACTGAGACTCTGGCCCAGGCACATGTACAAGAACTTGAGGCCGTAGCGATAAGCTTCAGATGGTACACCTAGAACCTGCACGGCAGACATGAAGCTGGCACAGAGCGACAGCCCCACTGGCACCGCTGACATCGTTTGCCCTCCTGTGAAAAAGTCGTCCACTCGTGGCTCCCCAACGTACTTCTTCAGGGCCTGGAAGAGTCCGATAGCCATCGATATCACCAGCATGCCGGAAAAGACGGCGTAGTCGGCCAGAGTGAAGCTGAGCCTGGTTTCTGTCGAGGTGGCCATGTTGAGTTTCTGCTCCTCTTCTGAGGTCAGCTACTCCATTGTCTTTGAAGAAAATTAACCGATGGCCTGAAAAACACAACGATATTTTGTGTGTGAGTGTGTGTAATATATAGTAAGCAATTAAAGAAAAGCTATGGATTTAAAAGAAAAACAAGTGTATTAAAGCAATCCATGAAGATAGAGCCCATAGTACTGGTCAGTCAGCCTAGTTTGCGAGTCTGGTGACATTAATGACTCCTTTATATGGCAGGATCTGCTCATGGGTGGGGTCAGAGGAGGGTTTAGGGCCGGGGGAGGGAAACCTGGATATTTTTTTTTTAATAAGGGAAACTTGCTTCACACAAGGGCTTGCATCCATTCAGATATGCAGTGCTTGTAACAGTAAGGTAATCATTTCTCATACAAGGATCAACGCAGTGCAGAAAGGTATAGAATACAGTCCCAGATTATCTTGTCTGCTAAACATATATTCACACAGTCTATAACCTACCACACTCTTTTTGTTCATTTATTATAATAATGACTATAGTAGCCATCCTCAGTTTTCAGGTCTTTGTCACAGCAGCATGTTAGGACAATAGCTAAGGGAGGTTAAATCCAGTATATTTCAATCCTGCAGTTTAATAGACAGATGCTGGATGACCCTAGAACCTTAGTCTGTCTTGTTCATTTTAATACACACAAGGATATTTCAATGGGTATTAGTAATAATCAAGCACAAAAACTATTGTGTCTAAGATTTCTGCACATAAAGTAAACACTGTATTTACATAACACTTTACACAGACACACAAGCACATTGCAACAAATTGAGCTGATTTGACCTCAACGAATTGTCATTGCAAATAAACAGATATTTTGTTCCATTTTGGTTCCACAATTGTCTTATTCCTTGTCTGTTAATCAACTGGTGTTTGCAGCTTTAATAAGTGTTTGCAGCTATTTTAATAACCTCACCATACAAGTTGTTGCTAATGGTAGCAAATCCTTTGTACAAAATAAGAACCTTTGTGGCACAGCTACAAAGCATTTCTGGTCACACAATCAAAGGATTTACAAAATAAAATATATTTTTTTCTGTCCCACTTTAATTAAGGGAAACAATGCAGCCATTCTGCAACATTTCTCCTTAAAAATCCATGCATGAAGTTGTACGTAAAACATAACACATTTTGTAACATTTGTTTTGTCTAATCATTTAATCCATTTTTCCTGAGAAGGGGTTAATTTGTTTTAGAAATGTTTTTGACGATAGCTGAAAAGTTACTAAATGGACACAAAAAGGCCACTTCAGTGCTTTTATGCTGTCGTTAATGTACTTTTTGTTTGTTCGTACAGAGACTGTGCATGTCTCAGATGGATAAAGCCTCTGCACCTGGAGAGTTTGTGAAGCACCCTTGGCAGTGACCCGGGTCATGTGACCTGTGTCTGTGTCACCACTGCGACGATCTTCAGGTGACTGGAGCTGGAAAGTGCAGGCACTTTTTGAACAGAATAAGAGTGCGACTTGCATGACGTGGTATACGGGGTCATCGCTCATCCAGGGAGGGGACTAAAGGTGTTTGTACACATAACAGGTGAGGCTCATGTATTATATGCAAAGGCTTGCAGATATAGAATTTTTTTCTGATCATTTTAAAGATCAGTATTTGAAGGATGATAATGATGCATTTGATTTTAAAATATCATGGGCTACAAACCAATTTTAAGTAATAAAAATATTGTTAGGGGTATATCTTGTAGGTTTAGGATAAATGTGAAGTTGGCCAAGATTTTAGGATGTTGGCATATGGGAAACCAGGAAGCAACAGAATCCCAAAATGCCAAAACAAAAACAAGCAATCAAACAGAGAAGCGACTTTACATTTGTGGCCATTTTTATTTTTTGAATAAACTTCCAAATATCAATTGCGTGTCTAAATCAGTGTTTTTCAACCTTGGGGTCGCGACCCCACATGGGGTCCCCTGAAATGTCTAGTAATTGATAAAGAAAATTACTGATAAAAAATATTTTTTCAACTAATCATCTATCCATCCATCCATTATCTCTCGCTTATCCAAGGTCGGGTCGCAGGGGCAGCAGTCTCAGCAGGAAAACCCAGACTTCCCTCTCCCTGGCCACGTCATCCAGCTCCTCTGGGGGAATCCCGAGGCGTTCCCAGGCCAGCCGAGAGACATAGTCCCTCCAGCGTGTCCTGGGTCTTCCCCGGGGCCTCCTCCCAGTGAGACATGCCCGGAACACCTCACCAGGGAGGCGTCCAGGAGGCATCCTGACCAGATGCCCGAGCCACCTCATCTGGCTCCTCTCAATGCGGAGGAGCAGCGGCTCTACTCTGAGTCCCTCCCGAATGACCGAGCTCACCCTATCTTTAAGGGAGAGCCCAGCCACCCTGCGGAGGAAACTCATTTCGGCCGCTTGCACTCGCGATCTCGTTCTTTCGGTCACTACCCATATCTCATGACTATAGGTGAGGGTAGGAACGTAGATCGACTGGTAAATCGAGAGCTTTGCCTTTTGGCTCAGCTCCTTCTTCACCACGACAGACCGATGCAGCGCCTGCATCACTGCTGACGCCGCACCGATCCACCTGTCGATCTCCCGCTCCATCCTTCCCTCACTCGTTAACAAGACCCCGAGATACTTAAACTCCTCCACTTGGGGAAGGACCTCCTCCCCGACCCGGAGAGAGCACTCCACCCTTTTCCGGCTGAGGACCATGGTCTCGGATTTGGAGGTGCTGATTTTCATTCCAGCCGCTTCACACTCGGCTGCGAACTGTTCCAGTGAGAGCCGAAGGTCACGGTCTCATGAGGCCAACAGAACCACATCATCTGCAAAAAGCAGAGCCCCAATCCTGAGGTCACCAAACCGGACACCCTCAACGCCCTGGCTGCGCCTAGAAATTCTGCCCATAAAGGTTATGAACAGAATCGGTGATAAAGGGCGGCCCTGGCGGTGTCCAACCCTCACCGGGAACGAGTCCGACTTACTGCCGGCAATGCGGACCAAGCTCTGGCACCGGTCATACAGGGACCGAACAGCCCTTATAAGGAAGCCCGGCACCCCGTACTCCCGGAGCACTCCCCACAGGACTCCTCGAGGGACGCGGTCGAATGCCTTTTCCAAGTCCACAAAGCACATGTAGACTGGTTGGGCAAACTCCCACACACCCTCCCAGGACCCTGCCGAGAGTATAGAGCTGGTCCACTGTTCCACGGACAGGGCGAAAACCACACTGCTGCCCATGATCAAAGTGAAATGTAATGTGTTGGTCTATGGTGACACGTAACAAAATAAGCTGAGACCAAGGGGGAAATAAGTTGTGATCTCCAGATATATTTTCTTGATCTTGAGATAACAAAAGTTAGTTAAAAGTTTGTGATGATGACAACTTTGTCATCTTAAGATCGCAAGAAAAATGTGATCTCGCGATAACGGGAAGAAAAAAATAATGATGATGCTTGTCCTCCCTGGACTTCTGTAAAAAATAAGAAAAAACTAAATGCCTTTTTTGGTGACGGTTGCTGTTAACTGCTGTCCGTTACCCATTGTAAAGATTACCATCCGCCACCGGGATATACGTGCATGTGGTGAACACTGTTAATCGCCAAGGTGTGTGATTAAAAGCAATTATGTAGAGATCTATAAATTATATTATTGCATGTAAGCCACAATAAACTATCGGTTTGTATGTGGAGATGTATATTTTTTTGTTACCTTTATCTTCTCATCTCAGTAACTTTTGCCCTGGATTTGATTAAAAACTTTTATTACACAAATTAATGGTAACACAACAAAACTGATTAACTACCCCAGCAGGCAAAATCGACACACTGTAAAAAGTCATTCTGTGGGATTGTAGATTTAATGAAATTTAATGAGTAAACTACATGTTACAAAATTAATTTCTTGTTTTTTTTCGTAATTTTTGCATTAAATTTATTTTAAAAATACAGGAATACTGAATTCTTCACTGCCTCCTCCCTCTCCTCTTTGTTACCTTTGCCGTGCAAACTGTGGGATTCAATAGAATTATAAAGAACATACAATGAATAGAGGAAAAGGAGAATATAGCTTAAAGCAGGGCATGATGAAAAGGGGGGGGGTCATTCTAAAAAATGCAGTTAACTGAAACTGACTGGCGCCGCAGGGCAAGGTTACCTAAATGGGACCGATAGAGGGAGCGACAGAAAACATCAGTGGCCCTTATGTATGTGTAGCCTTCCACAAGGACAAGTACTAACCGACTAACTAGAGCAAATGTCACATAGACAGAAGGTACCGAGAGAGGGGGGGAGATGCCCAAAGGGCTTTAAAAGGGATCCAGCTGATACATATGGCAGAGCTCCCTCCTGTACATGCTGAATGTATGTCAGACGGCCGCTCCCGGATTGCAATCTGCCTGCAAACTGGGGACCTGCAACTTCTCCACGTGTCAGCGGTGAATCTCTTGACCCGGTGGAGACGGCGAACTCCAACAAAACATCTTGTGATAACTGGTCATATATCTCTCACCTTTGTTAGTATTATTACTATTATAAAAATTACTATTGTATACTTTTATCATAACCATTAACCTTATTTTTTTTCCCCCTCATCACTTCAAATCACTATAGGTGGCATTGCACATATATATATTCTGCATTGAACATCATTCTTCTCTTCTACATTCCCTCCTTCTTTCCCCCTTTTCTATCAATGTTGACGTCACCAGCTTCATTACCCCAGTACTTCAAGAAAATCCTGCTGTTCTACTACCCCCCCCCCCCTCCTTTTGCCCTCTGCAGCTGGGGGGTTGGGTCGTTGTTTGCACTGGGGATGGCTCTCCGGGTTGGACTGGGGTGGTGGCTCCCTGGTGGCCGCTCTTGGGTTGGACCATCTGGCACGACCTGCTTCTTTGAATGCACCACATTAGATCAGTGCTCTCTCTCACTCAAAAAAAAGGGAGGAGAAAACGGAAAAGAAAAAAGAAAAGAAAAGGACAGTACACAGCTCCA